TATAATATAAAATTAAAAAAGTTTTTTTCTGTGTTGTGGCAATAGTGATCAGATTTTTCTTATATCTGAAAATTGCTCACGGTTGCAAAACTTTAATTGCGCAAATGATCACGGGTATCAGAAAAATCGATTGACTTTTGGCGATGGGTGGTTGATTTTTTATGCTACGGAAATAAATTTCTTTTTTTTTTGAAAACCAAGATAATTTAAGATAAGCTACGTCAAAATCAATCGTATGTATTGTCCATTTTTATATTTTTTAAATGCGATAAGGACAAAAACTGACTGAGTCTTTCTTTGAACGACATATCTCATAAGCGTGTCTCGATAGTAATCGAACAGAAGTCTGTCTGCTAAAAAACGTGAAAATTCGAGGCGAGCCAACGAACATGATTTTCGTTAAAGCATCGTTGAGAAATTAAGCAAGAAAAAAAGATTGATTGAATCTTCAAGTGGAAATATGTAATGATTACTAATGGAATGAGCGTGATCATGTTGCGTAAAACTGATCATTGACTGAAATCAGTTACATAGATACAAAGTTAAGACAATTACAGTTCAGATAACAGAGTCAAATGTTGAAGACAATTACTATGATTTAAATATTTTTCGAATTGGTTCTGGAGTGTTTCAGTAGTTGTTGATGTACAACCTCAAGAAGGATGTTTTGGTATGATACATTTTCACAGTTAGATAACAAAGATTCTTTAACCTAGTACAGTATGACTATATGACAGAAAGAATCAATATTTGTAATCATCTTCAGATATCCAAGATATTTATGTCTATTAGTTTTTGCGCATGTGTTGAAGTTATTACGCTTACAGTATCAATGAATTTCCATTGGTCCCATTTTCATCGGTTCCTCGTGGATGAAAGAACGAGTGGTGTTAAGACCACTTGTCTCATCAATATATTTTCACAAAATACATAGATATTCCTTTTCCTAAGTATTTCTGGTGTACTGAACAGTTTTAAATAGAAGTGAGACTGCATCAGTTCGATGCAATTTTTTATGGTCTATCAAAATATGATACGAAATTTTGCAAAACAACTGACATCAAGTTGAAAAAAGTGATATACAAGCAGAAAATAGTTCTTTTATAATTTTTTTCCTGTTAAAAACAGCAGTGAATCATTTTCCGTTATTTAACACTTCAAATATGAACAACAGAGACAACATGTACCTAGAAATCTGAAATTGAATATGTTGATAGAAAATTTAGCTTAAGAATGGCTCTATGGAACGAAAAAAAACCAAAATATAATAGATAACCAATCGATATTGATCGTAAGAGTAATATAAATTTATTTTGAAACAAAAATCTTCTGAAACTGTTCATAAATCAATCATGCTTTATGAGTATGTATCCTACATATCAAACAGGTTTGGTTGATAAAGAGTCGACGAACGTTTCTGAAAAGGTGCACGTAGATGTATCAACCAATCCGGTGAACAATTTTAATGCTTCTCCATTAATAAATACAACAACAACGGAATCTTACTCTGGCATCAATTCTCCAGTGAAACGACGTGCTCTTCATTCAGTCTCATTATCTGATGTCATACCATCAGATAATAAACATGTGATTGAGCTGTCTTTCTTTCAAGTACCTATCTGAAGAAGCCGCCATTGTGTATACGATGGATACTATATCAGCATAAATTTTCCATGGCGTTCCATTGTCGAACTCATCCGATATGATGCATTACTCACTCTTAACATTATGCTTCAAGAAGCAAGTACTTGCTGCTGTAAACATGCTGACAAAATTCGATTGCTTACTGAAGCTGTTACCTCAATAAAGAACACAAAATCAGATACGAACGCAATCAGATGAGATGAGCTGCTATGTTCATACGATGATCTAAAGATAGCATTAGAATGATTTAAGTCAATGTTAGATGAGGCTTATTACCAACTGATAATCGATTTTATTTAGGATTAAGCAATTCAGTATTTGACTATTCTCAATGTCAGATGTGAAAGTTGTTAGTCGTGTGCTTAAGAGCGCTCGTGTATCTCTAATGGATCACGTCGTTCCTAAGCATTTGAGTTCCGAACATATACCCAGACGAGATGTAATTGATAAACATACTTTCACAAATCCTGAAGATGATAAGGCAATGCCTTGTACTTGATGGCAACTATATATATATGTCCAAATGTCAGCAAATAACATTGTCCGAAGATGTACATTCTCTATTTACAAAGGTCGGCCATTAGGCCATATCTAGCTGATTTCCAAAATAACGATGCTTTGATGATCAAACATATCATTTCGAAATATCGAAAGGGTGTCGTTACCGATAGACTTGAACCACATGATATGCTTATTGTAGATCGAGGCTTTCGTGATTATTTGCCACCTTTAAGTCGTTCAAGATAGGAAACGTACATGCCTACCTTGTTGAAAGAAGTTGATAAAAAGTATGGCATTATTTTTATCATGTTATGTCTAATTCTATGTTACTAACTGCTGGCGATTTATTTTCAATCGTTTACACATTGATCAACGTATACAGACCTCTCTTAGTTCGATATGTATCACACGACAGCAAGCTGGCTAATATGATGCTAAGTCTCATGAATGACAGCAACAAACTCAAAGAATATATTGATAAATAGAACAACAAACAAGAGACAAATCGATGCTGTTCATAACTTTTCTATTTTGAATCTCAAGTAGCTGAATGAGCTCAATTTTAGGAAGGTTTCAATTAAAACAAGTCAAAAAATATAAGATAGAACATTGACCCAATGATTGATCGTTTTTTTGTTCAGGTTGCTAAACAGCGAACAGATATCCTAAGAGCTAAGGTATAATCCAGATACTGAAGAACTGTTACGTACAATCTCTGCATTCAATACAGTAAAATAAAAATAGAAGGATAGTACGACAAATACCGTTCAGGTGGTCTACTCATTAGTCTAATTTTTCGAACTTTTCGTTATAAATGTATTCTATTATCGAACTCACTTTTTTCTCAATAAACAAAATTCTATCATGATGTTTTTTTCTTGCGTTTACTTTATTTGTTGTTCATATTTGAAGTGAAAAATAATACAAAATCATTCACTGCCGTTTTTACCAGGGAAAAATTTATAAAAAAAGCTATGTTCTGCTCATATGCCATAGTTTTCAACTTGATGTCAATTGTTTTTGCAAAATTTGATATCATATTTTAATAGACTGTAAAAAATTGCATCGAACTGATGCAGTCTCACTTCTATTTAAAACTGTTCAGTACACCAGAAATACTTAGGAGAAAGAATACCTCTGTAAAGTTTACTGTCATCCTACTCGTATTTGGCTTGTATAAAGAACTGAGTATCTCCAATCGACTTAGTTCGTCCTGTTATAGATAAAGCAATTAAATTTACGCATAAAACTCTACAAGGGCCGAAAACCTCATTGTCATTTTGAAGAAAATGGCCATGCTAGATTTGCAGACCATATCAAACGTGTTATTCTAAATATATTTTTTTCGTGAAAATATGCTGATGAGAAAAGTGGTCTTAACACCACTCGTCCTTTCGAACATAAAATCGTTAAAATGAATGCATCAGGAATTGTGATCACGTAGATCGATAGAGTGTCGATAATTCGGCATATATCAATATACAATGAAATGAATTATTCATTCCCTGTACTTAATTATCATTTGAAACCAAAAGTAGAATGTTATGAATAGTATGAAAGACCAAGTGGCGTATTAAAGATTGATTTGTCTTTATAAATAAAAACAATCGACTTGTAAATATATGAAAAAAAAATGGTTTTGTGAAACTTCTATTCGTTACATGTCCAGTTATTTCTTGCATTTGTCTAGTTTCTTGCTAAAACGACGTTCATACCTAGATGCGACTATAAATATCTCAATCGCTTCAGTATAAGGTCAAGTGTATCGATTATCGATGCACACTATTTGTAAAGAATACGTCTGCTTATGGAACTGTGGAAATTCAGGTTATATGGTTTGATAGGTGACAGTATGAAGTGGCGATGCACACCTGCAACCATATTGAATACAAAGTTGAATCGATATTGAACAGCTTTGAATTCAATATGCCAAACTTATAATTAACACAATATTACTCACCCTATTCTTTTCCAATAGTTTCTCTATAATCTCCATATCTTGATGGGGTAACTTGGAATGCCAATTCAATGTTGTTTTGTCGTTTAAGTTAGCGAAGAGGCTTTCAAGTTTGACATTTCGATATTTGTAATGCATGCTGGCGAAAAGATCTTTAACAGATAACAAAATGTTTTCAGATGCTCAGTCAAGTTTATTCATTTTTGCAAGATATCCAATGTACTACAGTCTCTCCTATATTTACGGTGTCACGTAAATATTTTATGTACAAGGATTTCCCCACCCCTTTCTGTTATTTAGACGAGGCAGATCGAATATCTCTATGATCAGTGAGTTTAGGTTGGCAAATGCAGAAATCGATCGACCATGGATGATCCCTTAGAACTTCTTTTGTTAAATTTGAAGAAAAGACAACTTTGTTCTCAAATACCGATACCTTCAACGATTAGTTTGGTTATTTCATTTTTTCCTACTTACTCGTTAGAAACAGTGTGAAAATGAAAAAGAACAAAATATATTTGAAGTGTGATAGTTTCAGTCTAACAGCGCGACAATTAAAATGAATTTCTCAAATCATATGTATTATCAAAAAGTGAGTGTTTTCACGCAGCTTTTGGTATTGTCTGAAAAAAAAGTGAAAACGCTGAAATAGGGACTGTGATTAGTACATTTAAACGAGTTTTCTCAAAATTCTCGTCTGCTTGAAATATCAATTCATTAAAAAAAAAACTACACCACCAAAGTATTTTTAGTGTCCTATTAGCATTCTAAAAAAAAGACGAGCAACTTTGGTAATAATAAATTTCTTTTTCTACCTGACATATAAAGACTGTTGTAGAGAATTGAGATGAAAAAGAGAAAATAAGTGTTGTTCTTTCACTGAAGAAGTGAGAGTGGCTGTTATGTTTACTTTGACTTCATTTAAAAGGCTTCAATTGAGTGAAAAATGAAGTAGGCAGAAAAAAGCAGCATTGATTTTTAGTGGTCGTACTCTGACTACGTGTTGTCTTTTCAAATCAAGACTGCTAATTTTATGTATGTGCGTCTTGCACAGAATGATGATCAGAGAGAGAACATGGCACAACACTACATTTGAGATGAATTGGTGATTGTGCATGAAGTGAAGAAGCACAGTTGCATTACACGCAGCCCAAGCTCACCCTGCTCTCGACGATAGACAAATGACTGGCTCTTTTGAGGTGTAAGTGGACTTTCTTTACACGTGTAGATCCATGTTCTTGCCCACCCACAATCTCCGGTTGATATCTTGATGTGATAAAAGCTGCAGATAAAAAAAGTTAAAACTATTCTTTTATTGAAAATGTTGAGGTCCATTAGAAGAAACTTGACTAAAATATTCAATATCGCGATCAAAACTTCACAAATGAGTGTGGGTGTGGGTGTGTTCTTTTCCTGTACACCCACACTCTCGTGTATTATAGATCTTACTTGATGTTACTAAGATGCCTAATTATTTGATTTTGGCTAAAATATATAACCAAAATAATAACAAAACACTACACTACTGTGTGAGTGACAAGAAGATCAACACTTACATGCGCACATTTTTTTTTGCCTGTTGAAACAAGCAGCTTTAAATATTTAACTGAGTTTATGTTTTTGTCTAATCACTGGCACAGATACATATATGTACATCACATGTCATTCTGTTGTGCTTATTGATGAAAGCAGATGAACCAATACTCTTGTTTTCTTTCCTCTTTCTTTAAAAACCAATTACGTGGTGAGAATGTCGCTGATTTGGAATTGTAGGAAGTGCTTTTTCACCATTTTGTTTCAATAAGAAACTCCGTTATTCTTATAATACGTTATTTTTATATATTAAATAAAGTATCTATTTTTAGAATAAAAGAAATATAATGAATCAAGATCGAAATATGTATAATTCATCTTATCAACCATACGGAGGTTACCAACCTAATGCATATGCGCCGTATCCACCCCAATCTGGTATCTCTTTCAATTCAAAATGATTCGGATATCATATGATTAGATCACATTGAGGAAACAGAAATATTATGTCAAAAGCATGTTGTACCAGAGATAGAACTAATATTAATATGGGACTTTCAGACCAGCCGATTGTCGGAAAAAAATAAATATCATGAATTGATATTGAAAGTTAAAAATGTCAAACGAATGAATCCGGACATATAGTTGCTATAGGCAACCAGCCGGTCGAGTGTGAAATATGAATTTCTGACTAGCTAGTTCAATCAGATTGTGATTTAGATATATTACAAAGTCGTTTAAATAAAATCGAAGTTGGTATTCAATTTAAATAATTTTTATTTGCATTAGAAAATTTTGAACAAGAATTTAATCAAAGTCATGAAAAATATTATTTAATAATTGAATTTAATTTAAATGCAATGATTAAATTAAATTATCAACAAAATTTTGAACAAACGTTTGTAGCTACAAATAATGATGAACAAGCAATTGAAATTTTAATCAATTAATTGAAAATATCTCTGATAAAGATAAAGAATAAAAAGAATTAGAACAACTTGAATCATTAATTAATGATTATGATGGTGTGGATGTGGGTGCCGCTATTGACTTCATTTGTAGCCAGACCCATACCCACACCCTATTTTCATGAAAATTCTTTTAACAGATCAGTAATATTCGAAAAATTAAACAGTTAGTTATTGTAAAAGAAATTCTTCAAGAGCACTACCTCTTTATTGGATCAAATATTTCAGTTTGTTTGATATTGTCCTTACAAGTTTCATTTGATTTTGATTTAATCTTTAAAAAAAGAAAATATCATTTATTATTTTCAACACTAAAAGAGTGTTTATTCAATGACAATGAATCTTCTTCAATATTACACCCAAGAAAATCAAATGATTTTGTAGTAATTTCGTTGATGATCGAAAAGAAAGAGATTTTTTTATTTATTTTAAAGTTTTATCATTTCTGATGCTTTTTATTCAATCAACTCAAATCTTTCTTGCTTAGTAAATGATGTTATTGATCTGAAAGTTTAGAGAAATATTTGTTTGCTTAAATAAAGATCAAATGAAATTGCAAATTTGTTATTAGCTGCGAAAATCTTTTGTAATTGATTTGATCGAATTTCAATTCTATAAGACTAAAAAATATTCAGAATTAAAAATAATATTGTAAAAAGAAATGTTTTGTATGAAAATATGTGTTTATAGTTTTTTTTTCTTATTTGCTTTTAGAATTAATAAAAAAGTCAGTTCTGTGAAATTTATTTAATCATCTAATTTTATCTAATATAATTAGATCTCGTTTTGAAAATTTATCAAATGAAACTATTTATGAAATATTTCAATATTTTGATGTTTATCATGCTTATGAACAATTTTATTTTATCTTAATAAACGATTTAAAAGTTAAGTTGTTAATAGAAATCTTTCAATTCAAATAAATATCATAACAATGTCAAAATCAAATATTATCTTTATCGAATTAATTATCTTCGTTTATCAAATCCATTTACTGTTGATATTATTTTCTCATCACCACGCATTCTGTGTGATTATATTCAACTTCAAACATTAATTTTTGATAATATCGATGCAAAACATCTTAATAATATTTTTAAACATTCAGTTTATTTATCAAAATTACATTTATTAGTTTTTAGTCTTGTTGATTATGTTCAAGATCTAGATATTCTTTTTCATCATATATTTCGATTATCGAAATTAAAATATTGTAAAATAATATATCAAACAATCTATGATCAACAACTAATACCAATTTATTCGACTGACTTTACACTTAGTCCTATCGAATATTTTGTACTTAATAATTGTTTTTTAATTGTTTCACTTTGTAATCTATTGCTTTCTCTTCCGAAACTTCGTTATTTATCTATTGATTATCTGGTTGTATTTAATTATCTAGATATTGATCAAGATTCTATTGCATTAGAATGTTTAAAATATGTTTCTATTAATGTTGATAATATACATTTCAATCTATTCCAAAAAATAATAAAATATTTCTTTGGTTGTGTTGAAGTTTTACGCCTTACAGCACATGATACAACTTTATCTTCAATGTCAAATTGACGTATTTTTTTATCTATATCATACTAGTATTATACAAAATAATGACTTACTACATGTTCTTTTAATTTATCAATTTGACTCTTCACTATGAATTCGACAGCAATGAATTTTTACGCATAAATATAATTGACAAAATAAATTAGATAGTGTAAAAATCAAGGGGGAAACAGCGGACTTCAAGACTTCAAGACTTCAAAAGACTTCAACAGACTTCAACAGACTTCAGCCGCTGTGACTTCATATTTTCACAAGACTTCAGAAGACTTCTAAAGACTTCTGAAGCGTCATAGGACTTCAAATGACTTCGCAAGACTTCANTCTTGATTAACGATCTCTCTTGTTTCTTTCCATCACATTGTAACTGGATTGTCTGGAAGACAATTATGGTGGCAAAGGTTGCTCTTTATGATGTATTTCTATTAGCTCTACCTTGCAATATTGGAATCCCAATCCGAACTCCGGACTCGAGTTCGAATTTGCTGCATACCTGATTATATGAATAATAAAAAATGAATAAAACTGATGACGTCTTTGTTGTTATTTTTCGTCCTTGCCAAACGAAAGCAGACAGAGGAAACATAAGAGGTAGGGTATCGAATGCATCTATTTTGAAGTGATTCTTATCTAGATAAAGAAAAAGAAATGTTGGAAAGAATAACCATAAACATTAAATGACGTTGCTCGATTTGTTTTCTTTCCCACTGTTGTTGAGTAGAAACGAAAAAAAAACCCAACATCGAATATATAAATAGTAAACACAATCGCCTATCACCAAAACACAGCAAACATGAGCCGCCAACGAAGACAACGCTTGGCGGAAAATTATTTGGTCATCTGGGTCGACGGCAACATCGACATGAAAAATCAAGATTGTCAACACACGCTCACACAATTGCGTGATGTTGTCAATCAAGTCAACACATGTACCACGGCGGAGGAATGTGTCCGAAGCCTTGAAGAAAATCAAGAGGAGACATCATTCGTGATCTCCTCCGGTGCACTGGGACAACACCTTGTTCCAGATATTCATGGCATGCCAAAATTGGATGCCATATACATCTTCTGTGGCAATAAACAACGCCATGAAGTATGGGCTAAAAACTGGCCCAAAATTAAAGGTGTACATACAACAATTAAATCAATATGCAAAAAATTGGAAATCGCTGTCAAGCAATGTAATCAAGACAGTGTCAAGGTGAGTATCATCAGTGTTAATGAAGCAGGTTCTAGTGATAATCTCAATCAACTAGAACCTAGTTTCATGTACACACAAATATTCAAGGAAATACTCCTTGACATGGAACATGGCCAAGACGCCGTACAAGAGTTGGTGACATATTGTCAAGAACAATATCCAGGCAACAAGAAAGAACTTAAAATTATTGAAGAATTTCGACGTAATTATAATCCAACAGCAGCTATATGGTGGTATACTCGCCAATGTTTCACGTACAACATGCTTAATAAAGCATTACGTACACTTGACGGTGATATCATCATCCGCATGGGTTTCTTCCTGTGCGATGTACACCGCCAAATCGAACAGTTACACGAGAAACAGGTCAGTGGATACCACGGGAAGATTTTTACAGTCTTTCGGGGTCAAGGACTACCGAAAAGAGACTTAAAGAAGCTCGCCAAAAGCAAAGGCGGGCTTGTTTCTTTTAACAACTTTTTATCCACAAGTAAAGTTCGAAATGTGTCACTCGGCTTCGCCAAAGATGCCTTAGAAACAGCGGATCTAGCCGGTGTTCTATTTCAAATGACAATCGATCCTACAGTGTCATCAACTCCATTCGCCTCCATCCGGGAGGTTAGTTACTTCCAGGCAGAAGAGGAAATTCTCTTCTCCATGCACACTGTTTTTCGAATTGGCGATGTTCGACAAATTGACAAGGAAAATCCACTTTATGAAGTGGACCTGAAACTTACGTCCGATGACGACGAACAACTTCGTGAATTAACTGCTCGCATACGAGAAGAAGTGTCAGGTAGCACAGGATGGTATCGAATGGGTAAATTGCTGCTCCAAATTGGTCAATTCAACAAGGCTGAAGAACTGTATATGGCACTACTCCAACAAGCATCTGACGATAGTGACAGAGCATATATCTATCACCAGCTTGGATGGTTGAAAAGTGACCAAGGACAATATAAAGAAGCGGCTTCGTTTTACGAAAAGTCCCTCGAGATCAAACGAAAAACTCTTCCAGAAGATCATCCTTCATTGGCTCCTACGTACAGTAACATCGGTCAAGTGTATAACCACATGGGTGACTACTCGAAAGCACTTGAATTTTACGAAAAATCACATAAAATCAAAGAAATAGCTCTTCCTCCAAATCATCCCTCATTGGCTACTTCATACAACAACATCGGTCAAGTGTATGACAACATGGGTGACTACTCGAAAGCACTTGAATTTTACGAAAAGACACTGGAAATCGACAAGAAAACTCTGCCTCAGAATCATCCCTCATTGGCTACTTCATACAACAACATCGGTCTAGTGTATAAAAACATGGGTGACTACTCGAAAGCACTTGAATTTCACGAAAAATCACATCAAATCTACGAAATTGCTCTGCCTGCGAATCATCCCTTACTGGCTACTTCATACAACAACATAGCTTGGGTATATAGAAATATGGGTGACTACAAGAAAGCACTTGAACTCTACAAGAAAGCACTTGTTATCAAGCAAATATCACTTCCACCGGGACATCCTAGTATAAAAAGCGTGAAAAATAGCATTGAATATGTAGAGAAAAAGCTCTAAATTTCTTTTTTTTGTTCTCCTTTATTTGCTGAATAAACTGTTATTGAATTTCTATTCCCTCACTTCGCGTACGCGCGCGCGCGACCAGGAAGAGACCCTGTAAGCGTGCAACAGGTACACACAGAGCGGACCACGCTGGACTGGTAGGGCATGATCGTAGGTATGACGTACAAATAACGACGACATGGACCCACGAACAGAAGGGCCTTCCCGAGTGCTACACTGCTTTCTCCGAAGCAGGACAAAGTTTCTCTCGCCTGGGTCAGATTACGAAGCCATTTGACAGGCTGTGTTATAAGATCGTACATAACTCTCTCTTTCTCTCCTTTCCTACACACAAGAATATAGTTATTAGAAATTAAAAATTTACAAAGTGTCGATAGAAGAAAAAAAAAAGAAATTGAGAAGTACTATTGGCCACTAGTACTTCTTAACTTATAAATTTATGTTTACACCCCTCATAATGGGATAAAAAAAATAA